AATTATATAATACTTATATAATTTTTCAATGTTTCCTTTTAACGGGGAGGAAGGGGATGATGGTTTAGGCTGAAGAATGGCCGTGGCTGTTGGCAGGGAAGAGAAATAATGCAGCCGATTTCTGTTTGGTGAGAAGGAAGCACCGGCATCCCGGGGCCCAGCCTACAGTCTCCCCTCTGCCTCATTGGTGCAGACAGCGTTCAAAGAGACATATGTAGGTTCCATGTATTGTCCAGATATCACAGGCGGACCTGAGAATCCCTGGGCACACTGCACGGACCATCTATTTTACTGACTGCTCAGGGGCTGGAGCCTAGCCAGGTGTGATGGCTCACGCCTATAATCCCAACAGTTTGGGAGGCTAAGGAAGGAAGATCGCTTGAGGCCAGGAGTTTGAGACCAGCCTGGGCAACAGAATGAGATCCTGTCTCTAAAAGAAAAAAAAAAATTAAAAAGAGCTGGAGTCTCCAGAAGAACTAACACTCCTGTAGCCATGCTTAGCAGGACAGGGCAGGTACCGTGCTAAAAACCACCTCAAGTTGTGCTCCTCCTGTTGTGTTCCAGAGGGGAGAAGAGTCAACACTTTGCTGGGCTGAATAAAATCAGCTTATTGTGCCAACGATGGCGCAGGCCTGTGGTGCCCTGATTGGCCCTTGGCCTGCTGACTCAGTGGCTGCCCTGATTCTCCAAGTCTCTACTGAGAACCAAAGTGGTGGACCCCTGGCTAACGAGTGGCGCCCGTGAATCCCACCTGTCCTTCCCCTTATACGCAGCCTGCATGCCCGGAGCTGTGTGTGGGTGACTGAGATGGTAGCGACAGTTCCCAGGACTCTTCACCTCATCACACTGGGTGTTGGGACTATTTAGGAAACCAAGCCACTGCTGCGAAGTGAGATCCTGGAGGAGTGAGTGTGGAGGGACAGTCAGTAAGATGTTCAGCCTGACTGGGCCTGTTTGGCTCAGAATAATTATCTAGAAGGAAAAGAGGTGGGCCTCAACCTTCTTGATGTGTTTTCACTTTCCAAGACCTGCTGGCCGCCTTTTACTCCTCAGCCCCATTTGAGGAATGTTTTGAGTGCCGAGAGCTGGGGAGAGGCATGTCCTCCACGGTACCAAAGAGTCAGTGGCTGCTCCTTATTTCCAGACAAGATGTCCCTGACTTGGAACTTACTACTCAGGAAACAACACATGGATGTGGTCAAGTCCTCCTCACTGCCCACGCCCCCGTGCCTGTCCGAGAACACCTCAGAGACCCCCGTGTGTTAGTGAACATAAGTCCTCCCTTGCTAGAGGGGGAACCGAGACTTGTAAAGAGGAACAAGTGAGTTGGGTGTTTTTTTCACCTGGAAGAAAGTCTACAGTTGACTATTACCTTTTCCTCTGACCCTCTTTAAAAAGCAGGTTGTGTTGCAGCAGCTCTGCTGAAGTGTTGTATGGCCTTTTGTCTCGAGGACTTTGAAACTAGCATTGTTGATTTTTCATTTTTCCTGGCAACCCTCCCTCCTATTCCCCTAGTGTTTTATATTCACTGTCTGGATGATTTAAATACAGTAACTCTTGGTATAGACGTCCTTTTGACTTTCCCTGTAGCCTGAACCTTAGGGATATCTTCTTTCTAAGAGTAAGTAAACACATGTAGAGCAGAAGCAGAATGGGCTTTGTTGTCAGCAGAGGGAAAACTCCACAAGCTCACAAAGCGCCACCACCTCTGCTGCACTGGAACATCCGCGTCTCCAACAGACCGACTGTGTTCCGGAGACACGGTGCAGGATCAGAGTGTCTGTTTGTTATCCAACGGGTATTAAAGGGAAATCATTCTTTCATATCATTAGAAGCCCTGTGCAAACACAGCCCCATGGACGAAGGCCTTTCCCAAGCCCGTTACAAGGAGCTGTTTGTCCTGGCTGCCTGTCTTTAGCAGTTGGAACAGGACCAAGCCGACGGTGGTGTCATGGGCCCTACTGCGATTTTGCTTTCTTGGACCAAAGTGTCATGGGACAGAGCTCACCAGGTGGAAGTTGAATCAGAACACCCACTGGGAACCTTCAGTAAATGCCACACGGAACAAGCTCGGAACTGTGATGGAACCTGGCAAAGAGCTTGCACCCAACCACAGAAAAGTCAAATGATCATTTCATACGTTTGCCTTTGTGCATGGGAATTGACTAGCCACACGTGCCGGCAATCAGAACTCGTGTCTGCCTGCAAATGATGCAACCAAAGAAACCTGGGCTCAGGATCAAACGTCTTCATCCTCACTGCCTTGAAGAACACAGACTTAACCCTGCAGCATCTGAACACTATTGAGGGTTAGTTTCTTCACCCAAGAGCATTTTGATCAGTTCAGCCCAGACCTGTGTTTTTTTCTGGCTGCTGGGATTCAGTGAGTCCATTTATTCTGTCTCCTAGAGTGCCACTGCCCAGTTGCCACTTGCTGTACGTGGCTGTAGAGCCCCTGAAAGCAGCTAGTCTGAATTATGATGCGCTGTAAGGATAAAATGTGCTTTGGATTTGGGAAGTTTAGCACACACACAAAAAAAACTGTAAACCATCTTATTAATAATTACATTAGCTACATGTTGGAGATATTTTTATCTATTGGGTTAAATAACATACAGTATTCAAACTCATTTCACCTGTTTCTTTTTACTTCTTTTAATGTGGCTACTGGAAAATTTAAAATCACAAATGTAGCTTGTGTTGTTTGTATTAGACAGGGCTGGGCTAGCGCTTGAAGGAAGTTTAGGTTTGTAGTGCCATCTGCTGGCTCATCCAGAGCAGACGCGCATGTAAACAAGAATCTGAGCTAACCCACACATCTCTTAGCCTGGCAGCACGCAACCTTTTTATTCCAGGAGCTTCTGAAGCAGGACCAGACTGAACCCAGAAGCTGCTGAATCCCCAAGAGCCTCAGGAAGGGGAGTGACAGACCGCTCATAGGTGCAAGCCTATGTCAGCTCGTGGGTGCCAGGGAGGCTCTTGAGATAGAGTAGTGGTTTGCTGCTCACCTTCCACACTTGAAGCTCTTTCATGCAATCTTTTTCACTGGTTGCTATTCTTAAATATTTCAGGCCAGGCACTGTGGTTCACCCCTGTAATCCCAGCATTTTGGGAGGCCAAGGCGGGCAGATCACTTGAGACCAGGAGTTCAAGACCAGCCTGGCCAATATGGCAAAACCCCATCTCTACTGAAAATACAAAAATTAGCTGGGTGTGGTGGTGCACACCTGTAATCCCAGCTACTCGGGAGGTGAGGCAGGAGAATCGTTTGAACCAAGGAGGTGGAGTTTGCAGTGAGTCAAGATTGTGCCACTCTACTCCAGCCTGGGTGACACACCGAGACTCCCTCTCAAAAGAAAAAAGAAAAATATTTCAGGCCAGGAACTGTGGTTCCCACCTGTAATACTAACACTTTGGGAGGCTGAGGAGGGAGAATCACTTGAGCCCAGGAGTTTGAAACCAGCCTGGGCAACATAGCGAGACCTAATCTCTCTCTTCCCCCCCGCCCCCCATCTGGTGCAAGATCTCATCTCTACAAAAAAAAAAAAAAAAGTAACCGGGCATGGTGGTCCCAGCTACTTGGGAGGCCAAGGCAAGAGGATTGCTTGAGCCCAGGAGGTTAAGGCTAGAGTGAGCTGTGATCGTACCACTCCAGCCTAGATAACAGAGCAAGACCCTGTCTCAAAAAAAAAAGAAAAAGAGAAATATAAGCAATCATTTAACAACATAGTAATGATACAAACCCATCCTTCAGGAGACTGCTGTCCTCGCTTTAGATAATACTTACTTGCCTTGATTTGTCAAGAATTGGAATTTGTCAAGAATTGGAATTTTGCTGATAAGTACCTACATCCAATGTCTATTGTTGCATAATAAATCACCCCAAAACTTAATGACCTAAAACAATAGTAATCACTTAACACCTCTCACAGGTTCTGTGAGAAATGTGAATGTGAATCAGGAAATCAGGAGTGGCCCATCTGAGCAGTTTTGGCTGAAGATCTCTAATAAAGTGAAGTCAGATGTTGACTGGAGCTACACTCAACTGAAGATTTGACTGGGGCTAGAGAATCTTTTTCCGAGGTGGCTTGTTCACATGACTGGTGAGGTGATGCTGGTTGTTGGCTAGAGGCATCAGCCCCTCTCCACATAGGCTTCTCCACAGAGCTGCTTGAATGTCCTCGAGGCATGGCAGCTAATTTTCGACTTAGCCTCAGAAACTATACACCATTACTACGGCTGCATTCTGTTGGTCAAAAGGCAGGAAAATGCATCTCACCTTTTGATGAAGGAATGTCAACATTTCATTGGAAAATAAAGTCCCAGAGTGCCCAACACTTGTATAGCAATGTATAGCTTTTTTTAAATGCCCTGTTTTTCAGATGAGGAAATTGAATCTCAGAGAGGTGGAGTAGCTAGTCTGAGGTCTCGGGTCTGGTGAGAAGGATGAAAGTCTGGTTCTTCTGACTCCTAGTATATGCTGGTGAAGCCTATCCAAGTTATGTTCTCCTCTCTCCCATATGCTATTGTAACTGAGAATCACACTGGGTTTTTTATGTCTCCAGCATCTTCAGGATATGTGGGGCTGTCTTCATCCAGGTGCTTTAGATATGTACTTATGTGGTATCTCCCTGTAACTTGTCATTTTATTGAGTTAGGCTGTAGGTCTTATGGAAGTACATTTCAACTAACTGGAATCTTTCTTACAAAAGTGCTTCATCAATGAAAAATGAAACATTTTCCAATATTGTTCATGCCATTTGCTTCAAAAATCTGAGAGACAATAACATTACAATATGTGTGTTCTTATTCTCTTTGATTATCCTGTTATTATTACATCTTATTTGTCCTTAAACAGGAAATAAGTAATCACTGCTTGCTTTCAGTAGTTTCCATATTACTTGGTCATCGTAAAAAGGAGGTTGTATCGTTTTTGATGTTCCGCCTGCCAGAATTAAAATCCAGCTGCCATAATCATTTTCTGTTATTCTTGGTTTCAGGTAAAACTTCCTTTTCCTGTAGATCAAATCACAGATCTTCCAAGGAACGATTTCCAGATGATGATTAAGATGCACAAGCTAACCTCAGAACAGTTAGAGTTCATTCATGATGTCCGACGGCGCAGCAAGAACCGCATCGCGGCCCAGCGCTGCCGCAAGAGGAAACTGGACTGTATTCAGAATTTAGAATGTGAAATCCGCAAATTGGTGAGTTGGCCCATCCATTGTGATCAGCAACCGGAAGTGACCAGGACCAATGTAAAGGAACAGCAAAGAAAGTTGGAAAAGTAGAAAGAAGAGTCATCCTTTGGGGAAGTTTGGGTTTATTTTTTAACAAGTTTCTCAACAGAAGTAATAGCTTTACATCTGCTCTGTGTGTGTGTGTGTGCGCGCGCACGTGTGCGCACACGCAGATGTGTAATAGTGTGTCAATATTTTATATCCTTCAGTCATTATTCATATAGAGGTAGTTCTTTTTTATTTTTCATCCAACGTGAAAATAACTGATGTTGGCCAGGCGTGGTGGCTCACACCTGTAATCCTAGCACTTTGAAAGGCCAAGGCAGGTCGATCACTTGAGGTCAGGAGTTTGAAACCAGCCTGGCCAACATGGTGAAACCCCGTCTCTACTAAAAATGCAACAAGTTAGCCAGGCATGGTGGCGTGTGCCTGTAATCCCAACTACTCAGGAGGCTGAGCCAGGATAATCACTTGAGCAGGGGTTGCAGTGAGTGGAGATTGCATCACTGCACTCCAGCCTGGGTGATAGAGTGAGACCTTGTCTCAAAAACATAAATGAATAACTGATGTTAATTATGAGCATTTATGGACCAGGTATTCTTCTAAACGGTTTTTGTGGATGATCCCATTTAATCCTCACATTAACGCTATGACTTAGGCACTCCTTTATCCCCATTCACAAAGGAGGAAACTGCAATGCAGAAGGATTGGGTAACTTCCCAGTACTTGGTAGAACTTGAATGCAAACCCAGGTGTCTGATTCCAAATCGTGTCTTGTACCACTGCTTTCTCCTGCCTCCTGACAGAAGAGAATGGATTCGAGATAGGACGCCTACCTGCAGCGGGGCCGTTGCTCAGGAGATGATCTCCTGGCATCCCTTGCAGCCCCAGGGCCCTTTCTTTTGCAACTCTGCCTCAAGGTGGCTGTCATAGCCATCCCTGTGCCTGAGAGTGTTTTGTCACAGAAAACAAACTCCCGTCTCCCAGGCTCGCCCATATACTCAGAGCTATGTGCCCCCACCCCTTCTCCTTGATAAGCAGCCATAAGCTACAGAAAGTAAATCCAGGTGACCTCTGGCTCCTGACTGTAGCTTTGAAGGCAACCAACTCAACCTCCTTCAGCTCCACCTTTCTGCCACCAAATAACAGAAACTCATCTCAGGTGCCATGTCTGTGTCAGGCTGAAGAAGAGGGAGGCTGCATGGTGTGGTCATGATCTAAGTGTGGCTCCTCAGACTGTTTGCAGCACCCTCTGGCCTCATGGTGAGCCACCAGCTGATGAGAACCAAAGCGCAAGGATGAGATGTTAGAAAAGCACAGGATATATGTTATCAAGATAGCCCTGGACTTCAGGGTTTTGTGGTGGTGGTGGTGGTGGTGGTGTTGTTGTTTTGTGTTTTGTTTTTTTGTTTTGTTTTGACACTCACCAACCAGGGAAAATATCTGTCTTTAGTAGCTCCCATCACCAACAAAGAAAGTCCAAGCTTCTTAATAAGACCTCTCCTGCCCTTTGTGTTTCAGTCTGTAGCTGCCTCTCCAGTGTCACCATCCACTCCCTTCCTAGGACTTGATCCCTGATAAAATCAGTCTCTGCACTTGTGCCTACACCATTTCCTCTCTGTCTTGGACATTCCTCTACTTTTTCTATCTCCTTTGTTCTTTAAGAGTCAGGTCATGGCTGGGCACCATGGCTCACACCTGTAATTGCAGTACTTTGGGAGGTTGAGGCAGGAGGATTACTTAAGGCCAAAAGTTTGAGACTAGCCTGGGCAATATAGCAAGACCCCATCTCTGAATGAATGAGTCAGGTTATGCATCACGTCTCTAGGAAGCCCCTTTCCTGAGTCCCCCGTTAGGCTGGGCACCTGCCCATGGAACCCTGATCTGACCTCTGGCTTAGTGCTTATCACTTACTCTTGAGTTATCTTCACATATGTCTGTTTCCTCAGCCCCCAGCCCTCAACTGTCGTGTTCCTCAAGGACAAGGACAGTGACTTGATCATTTCTGAATATCCAGTGTTGGACCCATTGCTGGGGTCAAGAAAATGTCTGTTGCCCTAAAATTTGCTGGATATTGTGACTTTTCAGTTCAGGGGATTATGAGTTTCTTCTTTCAAATATTTCTTTAACATTGTTTACTTTTGTTAAACAACAAAATTTAATTTAAATCACATAAGGAGACAACGTTCCTGCTGGTGAGTGTGGGTCTTCTGAAAGCCTGCTGGGCTTAGGTAGTTAAGTCCACTGGGTGTGAGTCTACAGGGGCCTAGGCACATGTCTATAGTGCCCTGCACTCCTCTTAAGGTAGTAAAATAACTTCGGTCACCCACATTTGAGAAATGCCTGGTTTTGGTAATTCGCATTCTGCTTAGTGTAGTGTTGTAATACTGAACAAATAAAATCCAAGCCACAGACCAGGTAGATATCTAAAGCACTTTGCCAGCATTTTTCAACTAAAAAAACAAAAGAGCATCATCTAGTTCTCCAACCACTTTTTGGCATCCCTTAAATAATGCGTTGTGTTTCGGTGCTGAATGAGAACACACTCGTCAGTGTGCGTGTGTGACTTAGAGCTTCATGGTTTTAACCGAGGTGTGAGTTACACTGTCTTTCCTGCTGCTGTCACATGCAGCACCTCATTTTCTTCCCCCTAGAAAGTGGCCTGGAACATTTAACAAATGAGTAGGCCTGGAGGGGTCAGTGCTTTGGCCAGGGCAATGTGGCAGAATGATCCCAGGGTTCCTCTCCCAGCGCCCAAGCAGTATTGCCCCTCACTTTGCAGATTTCTGTACTAAAAGGGGAGAGCTCCAGGTTGCACAGCCACCCATACAAGTTTTCTCCCCAAGGAGACATCCCAGATGTGTTTTGTTTCTTGTCTGCCACCCTGTGGCGGGGATGCAGTGTCCTGGCAGGGATGGCGTTGGTGGATGGAGCAGCTTCCACCTCTCCCCAGTCCCTCCCTGCCCAGTCCCCAGCAAGCCCTGCACTCACTCCCCACTCCCACGTCGTCTCCCACACACCCGCCACTCAGCTGTTGCAAACTCGCATAATGTATTTCTCTCAAGTTGCACTTCTACATCTGTTTATTTTTCCTTTTTAAAATGTATTTTCTTGATAAATTTATAAATATTTTAGCAGGTGCCCTTTCCTGGTGTAAATCTGTCTTTCCAACACACATGCCCACGCCGCCTGCCAGATTGCGTTCATGTTACAGCACATGCAGTTTCCGTGTCGGAGACCTGTTCCTTGTGCATGTCGCATGCCTGCTCCTCCCTTTCTCCTCTTCATTTTCTCTCCCATCCTCTTCTCCTGCCTGCGCTTGCAAAGGGTTGGTGAGAACTGACTTCATGCTGCTTCAGATGCCCCTTTTCTTCATCCACTTCATTGTGTGTGCCTCATGGAACCCCATCTCCTCCCCTCACCCTCACGCAATTTTTCTTTTTTTTTTTTTTTTTTTTTTTTGAGATGGAGTCTCGCTCTGTCGCCCAGACTGGAGTGCGGTAGTGTGATATCGTCTCGCTGCAACCTCCACCTTCCCGATTCAAGCAATTCTCGTGTCTCAGCCTCCTGAGTAGCTGGGATTACAAGCATGCCCCAACACACCCAGCTAATTTTTATGTTTTTAGTAGATACGGGGTTTCACCATGTTTGCCAGGCTGGTCTCAAACTCCTGACCTCAGGTGATCCACCCACCTCAGCCTCCCAAAGTGCTGGGATTACAGGCATGACCCACCACGCCCAGCCCCCTTCCCACAAATGTTGATGGTAAAACCTTAATTAGTCTCCAGTCTGTTGCTGAAGTCATCTCTGTTGGGATGGTGAATTTCAGGAACACAAAAGCATGTGTAGGATTTTGTTTAAGGAGAAGAACATCTCAGAACTTTGGGCTAGTACGCAAGGGTTCAGGCTCCATCCTTCCTTCTCCCTTCCCGAGTCTGGGAGAATCGCTGCTCCAGACCCATTGCACATACCCCAGCTGTCCTCGAGAGGGTCCCTCCTGTTCAGTCTGCTCTGCTACCAAGGCCAGAGAGCCTGTGATGTTGGGTTCTATATGAAACTCCATATGTTAGGCAACCATAGGAAATTCCTGATTACTTTTTTGGGGTTTTTTTTTCTAATACACTTTTTTTTTTGGCGGGGGAAGACAGGGTCTCGCTCTGTCACCCAGGGTGAGTGACACCATCTCACTCACTGCAGCTTCCACCACCTGGGCACAAGATCCTCCCACCTCAGCCTCCCAAGAAGCTGAAACTACAGGCGTGCGCCACCACACCTGGCTGATTTTTGTATCTTTTGTAGAGAAGGGGTTTTGCCATGTTGCCCAAGCTGGTCTCAAACTCCTGAGCTCAAGGGATCCACACAACTTGGCCTCCCATAGTGCTGGAATTACAGGTGTGAGCCACTGCACCCCAGCCTGGCTTACTTTTTTAGGAGCAGTTTTAGGTTCACAGCGAAATTGAACACACTATACAGAGAGTTCCCATATGTTCCTGTTCCCACACACACAGCCTCGCCCACTGTCAGGATCCCCCACAAAGTGTACACATGTTAGTCAATGAACCTACACTGACACATCATTATCACCCAAGTCCGTAGTTTACGTTAGAGCTCACTCTCGGTGTTGTACATTCTGTGGGTTTGGACAAATGTATAATGACATGGACCCGCCAGTATAGTGTCATACAGAGGCTTTCACTGCCCCCAAATCCTCTGTGCTCCGCCTGTTCAACCCCCTTTACCCCTGGCAACCACAGATCTTTTTACTGTCTCCATAGTTTTGCTTTTTTCAAAATGTCATGTAGTTGGAATGGTAGATTTTTGCCTTTCAAAAATGGCAACCTGATACATTTGGGGGAGATTTTCAATCACAAGATTGGGACTGAGAGTTTTTAACTTAACTCTCTACAAACCCCAAATTCTGGGAAACCAAAACATTGACTCCGAAGTTTTCTGATTGGTGACAATTTTGCCGGTGGTTTGCCTGGGCCTTGGAGAGGGATGAAGAGGTGTCCTGGGGAAGATGTTGGTGTCAGCAGCCCATCTGGATGGGCTGCTCAGATGGGAGGTGCGGCAGAAGCCCCTGTCTGGGCTCCCTGAATATGTATCTTTTAAGTTTCTAGAGCCTGACCTAGTCATTCTTGAGTTACATTATAATGGAGGATGCAAAACAAAGGCTGGAAAACCTCCTGAAACGAGGCCTTCGGTCCTCCAATTCAGGCTTGATCAACCCTTCTCTTTTTTTGTCTGCTGTCCAGGTGTGTGAGAAAGAGAAACTGTTGTCAGAGAGGAATCAACTGAAAGCATGCATGGGGGAACTGTTGGACAACTTCTCCTGCCTTTCCCAGGAAGTCTGCCGAGACATCCAGAGTCCCGAGCAGATCCAGGCCCTGCATCGGTATTGCCCTGTCCTCAGACCCATGGACCTGCCCACAGCCTCCAGTATTAACCCTGCGCCCTTGGGTGTTGAGCAGAACATTGCAGCCTCCCAATGCGCAGTGGGGGAAAATGTGCCCTGCTGCTTGGAGCCAGGCGCAGCTCCCCCCGGACCCCCCTGGGCACCCAGCAACACCTCCGAGAATTGTACCTCTGGGAGGAGGCTAGAAGGCACTGACCCCGGAACCTTCTCAGAGAGAGGAGGACCTCCTCTTGAACCCAGGAGCCAAACAGTGACCGTGGACTTCTGCCAGGAAATGACTGATAAATGTACAACTGACGAACAGCCCAGGAAAGATTACACCTAGTGACTCGGCTCTGCCTCCCGGTCTGCACACCTCTCTCATCCAGGCATTCTTCAGTCAGCCTGTGGCACTGTTCATCTGCTGTCCCGAAGAAACCGAGAACACATTTGGTGCACACTACAGCGGTCTTAGCAGCAATACTGTTCCGAAGTAGTCTCTCCTCTTCTCGAGCAGGAGTGATAGATAGTTACCTTCACAATGGTGCTACCCCTTGCCCAGGCAAGGAAAGACAGCAGTGATGACACTGTCTGTCTGTGGCTCAATTTCAGTCTTCACAGGGATAGACTACAACACCTCTAGGCCCCAACCACGGATTTTTTTTCTCAGTGGCCCATGTCACAAACCCTATCTCAGGAATTTCTTCTGAATGTTCAATTTTTTTCATTGAAGACAGCTTCTATACACATCAAAGTTTTATAGCTAGACTGTACATATTATATATAATATATATATAAAATATATATATATATCCATATGCAAAAGTCCTGCATGCCTCAACTTTCTCATCCTAAAACTGGAAACTTATTTCTCATTTAGAAACAGGTTCCAACATTCCTCTTCTTTTGTCTCTGATGCTAGAACTAGTTTGGTAACTGTTAACATGGTCATTTTTCTTGCTTCACAGTTCAATTTTCAATTTGTGCTTATTTATGGACAAAATTCAGTGTTGGAAGCTTTTTCCCAAGGTTTTAGTTCAGATTTCTTTTTCATTTGGTTTGGTTTTGGCACCGCCACGTGGTGTCATTTGAGTATTGTGGGTTTGTTTTTTGTTTGTTGGGGGGGGGGGGTTTGTTTGTTTTTGGTTTTTTTGTTTTTTTCCTTGCAGATACTGTACAGTGATGGTCAACTTTGCCACTTGCACTGAGTTTTGGGTCAAACCTATTTTCTTAAATGAAGTTGTAACTTCAGTATAACTCAAGTATACTGTATGTTCTTTGCTTTTAGTTTAAAAAGTAAAACATTTTAGCTAATTAAAAAGCACTCAGGTGATAATTATGTAGGAAAAACAATCTTGCCAAATAATGAATTCATCCTAGGATGTGTAGACAATAATCTGCTTGAATATTTTTATATTTCACCTCCTCCCCACCTTTCCCTAAGCAAAGTTTAAATGCAGATAGAGAGTTCAGAGTTGATGCTGGATGTTCAGATTCCTACGTGGGGAGAGAGTTTGGACATCTCACTCAAAAGTACATCAGAAAAACAGGAATCCATGATTTTATACCAGAACTCAGCAGGCATTGGCTCCTAGAAATCAAGCTAGAACGTTTTCACCCAGGGAGTAAGTCCCATTCATTTCAACACGTCCTGAGGCCTCGGCTTGCTCTGGAACTGTTGTGCTGTAGGACCTGCCCCCCTGAAGGACGGGGCCAACCAGCCACCGGCTTTCCTGCCCAGGCTCGGCCTCCCAGGACATCTGGCCTGAGGGGATTTGAATCACAGCCCCGAAGGTCCTGCCTTCACCCTGTTGGGAGAGAGCAGGGCATCCTGGCATCTGCGATCCATCCCTGACACAGGCTGACACATTCTTTCTCCTTTCCTTCTCCAAAGGCTTGGAGTTGTCTTCTGAGGTTTTTCTGCCAGTCTCTTGTCTGAAGGCAGACTTCATTCTGAGGCTTTGGACAAGCTATCACCGGGAGCCCTCCCTGTCCCCTTCCCGAATCACACATATACCCTACCCTCACCTGATGATAATTTTCTCTTCTTGCTGCAAAACTGGTTGACTTGCAACCCAGAGAGAGCAGCTTCCCTTGGCTCTGGGGGCGTGTTGGCCCCAGCCACGTTTACAGGAAGGTGTGCCCCAGAGGAGGAGGAATCAGCTCCCTCGCTCCAGTGGCCTTGGGTCTGGGTCTCACTGAGCAGCCCGAGGGCCACTCCAGCCCGGCTGGGGAAGAGAGTCCTGAACAGTTTGATGTGGGGACGGGGTGGTGGGCAGTGGGGAATAGATGGTTGACTTTGTTTCTTTCTTTGTGCCATTGTTTGGACAATATTAAAGCTGCATGTAAAAGGGGAAATTAGTATACGATGTAGGCGAACAGTGAAATCATAGTAACATATGTTTTAGTATTATTAACTTTTTTCTGTACAAATATTAGCACTAAATGTTTAAATATGTATGAATGCCAGAAATTTGTCAGTTCATGCAGTAGGATAAAAAAAAAAAAAAAGGCTCTTTTTAAACAGTTCCACTTTTAAAACCTGCCTCTGGGTTTTTGTTTTTTCTCGTGTGTGTGTGTGTGTGTGTTTGTGTGTGTGCGTGTGTGTGTGCTTGTCTGAAACAGATCTTGATAAAGCTCTGTGTTGGAGCTGCTGGTTTTTGTTATGGTTGTTGGAATTTCTTGGCCTACTAGGACAGTTCTGTGCTTCACCGTGAGGTTTGCCTTTGTGGAAAACTGGTGACAGCGAGAATATAAACTCAATGTGAATCACGTGGTACTTCACAGGCGTGTGTTATGGTGGAGTCAGCTGACAGTATTTTGCTTTTTAACTCTATTGTTGCCTTTCCAAGTGACCTCTCCTCTTCTTTTACAAAAAGAACACTTTCTGCTCGTATCATAACCAGGTCCAACCCAGCTTCTTGGCATGAGGTTTACCCTGGTAACAACTCATGTGCAACTGGTAGTCTTGACCACATTCCATCCGTTTCCCCAGGTTTCTATGTTCAGTAGCCCAGACCTGTTTGGCAGTCATTTCTAGGAGGGGCAGGGTCTCTTTATTTCTCTCCACCCTAACTCAGACCTCACCCTCCTCCCACCAACCCCTGCCTCGCTTTTCTTCCTCTTCCCCCAACCTAACTTCTGCCATGGGAACTGGTTAAAAACACTGCTCTAAAAACCATCTTCCAGTTTCATAGGGATTTCTAGCAAGTTATCTCATTCATAATACACCATGAACCGTGACTAGCTTCGTGCAGTTGTTCATGTGATGTGTGCGTGTCTTTTCCTATTCGGAACTGTGTGCTTGTCAAAATTATTTCTGGGTTGATTCAAAGGGAGGACTTGCTGGGGACCAGAATCCAAACGGCCTCAAGTGGAATTTTAAAACCCAGCCTGTCTCTTTTCCCTGGGATCCGTCGGTCAACCCCACACCTTTTAAGAAAAAAAAAAGCAAGTGAACAGCAAGGAAGAGTATTCGCACAGTACAGGGACATTTGGTTGTTTTTAAGGCTCTTTTACAAAAATAAGAGACCCTCCAACCACAGGCTGTTTAGGAGGATGCCTGCTTGGGTCTCCAAATGGCTGGGGTAGGAATGGTTGTTGGGGCAGAGCCAGTGGAGATGACCCTGAGACTAATGAACATCCCACCTAAATCCAGTCCTCCCCTTGGATCTGCCTTTGTCCTGCTTGTGTCTCCAGGCAACCTCTCTTCAAGTTGGTCAGGCTTTGGGCAGGTGAGTGCTTTGCTGTATGTGTTTGTTTCTCTGTGTTATCTGGGGGTGCCTTGATTAAAACTGAACTTCATTACATACTGATTCTGGAACAAAACTATTAGAAAAATTTCAAAAAAAAAAAAAAAAAAAAAAAAAAGCTGACAAAGTTACGAGGCCATCCTGCTACTTCTCTTCTCAGTTCCCAGCAATGACTCAGGCGTCAGAGGCGATGCTGCAGTGGAAAACCTGACTCTGTGCGTCTGCAACTGTATGTTGTGCGAGTAATTTATTAACTGTCTTTCTAAAGGTTTGCTGCTTTTGAGATGCACTCTAATTCAGGATGTAATCCTTATATTGCTTTTCCAAGGAAGTAAAAAAAAAAAAGGCTAGTGATTAGTATGACAACTGCCACTACTCCTTCAAAAGGAGCCAGGACCAGCGACAGGACTCATAAGAGGACTGGCTAAAGTGAAGTGTGCACAGTGTGAAGTTTAATGCTGTTGTCAAGAGGCCTAAACCCACATTTTCTCTTTTAATATTTTATGATTGCCATCAAAGAAGAAGAAAAAGAAGGAACAAAGGTTTGAAAATGATAAGCCTGTTAAGACACCAAAAAACTCCTGTCCCGTGAAGCTGCTTGACATCCTGTGCAGTAGCATAATCCTCTCACAATGAGGAAGAGCTGCCTGCAAAGCTTTCTCACGTCCCTATTTGGCTACCTACTTCTCTACATTATGCCCCATTTAAACTAGGAGCTGTTTTAGAAATGACTTCAAACTGCTCCACTGTTGCTTACAGTTTAGGAGGAGTCTCAGATCCATAAAGGAGCAAGAATCAAGTTTGGTCCTCAAATGACTGTAAATAGACTAAAGAACAAGGTGTTTTTTTGTTTTTGTTTTTGTTTTTATTTTTTAAGAATAAAGCTGTTCGTTGTACCATGGGTTAGTGTTTCTTCCCCAGATTGAACACTGTGTTGGAAGTTCGATTTCTGGTGAGCCAGTCCACAGTACAATGCCCTGTTGTGGAGTTGGTATTCATACAGGAAGTCTGTGTGCACGAGGCATTGTGTGTTGAAAGTGTATGTTGATAGTACTGCCCGAGCCATCTCATGACCCCAGCATCCAAAACCGATGCTGTAGAACAGAACATATTTGTACACAAATAGTGTGTGCAAATAGCATTTGTACATAGAAAAGTCTTATTGTGGCAGATTGAGGATAAATTATTCAACTGACGGTGCAAAAACATTACTTGCAAAGAAAAGTAAGTTTATAGTATTTTCCTACACTCCACCCTGGGAGATGATATTTCTATCAAATGAATATCAGTGCATTTTAAATGTAATATGAAAACGATGCTGCCATTTTGTGAAGAATACCCACTTGGTTGCAGAGGCCAACTTTCATAGCTTTGATTTAATGTTGTGACATGGTGTATGCATATCGCTGTCAAGCAATGGATAAACAGCTCTGACTTTCATTCTCATTCCAGTTTATTGACCTCAGATAAAACACTGGCCCTTCTTAGAAGCAGAAGTGCACCAAGACCATTCATTTCAGGTAGACTCACATTCAGTGCCAAGCGCTCCCATGGGAATAATCAGACGCATATGTTGCGAAAGAGTGAAGGGACTTGGACAAAGGGGTTTTCCTACAGATGGATGCTCAGTCTTCTACCAAAACATGTTTGGAGGCAGAAGTGTGACCTCCCCTTAAGTCCCAACAATGTATTTTGTGTGTGCAAATCCTGGGATGCCTGTTCACGCTCTGACATAAAGACATGGCACCTCTAGTGAGTGATCAGGAAGATTCCATATGTGTTTGGGAGCTTCAGGTGCTTGTTAGACACAGTGAGCCATTCAAGGCAAGCAGCACCTTTGCTAGTGAGGCCAAGAGGGCCTGTGACAATTTGTTCCAGAACCAGTCTGATGCAAGTGCACCTCTAATATATGCCTTACAAACTCCAGAGGCCATATTCAAAACAGGGTCTTCTCAGTGTATGCAAGGGGCCGCAGCCCCTCTTCTCTTCCTCCCCAGGTTGAACAATACGGACAGTTTTCACACATATCTACCTGTATAACCCTCTGTACCTCTCATAACTGGTCAACGACTGTAACAGGTTACATCAGGTGTTTTTCTACATACTTTTTACACAGATTCTATGCGATTAATGTAACTTAATTCAATGCATCATTTTATTGTACTAGTTCTTAGGCTTGTCCTTATTTTTTTCTAAGTGATTGTGGTTTTTCTTGTGGTTTTTATTGTAAAAATGAAAGGCTGTTGATGCTTATTCTCTGTAACTAAGAATTTTTACCTTTTGGGGAAAAAAAGCATTGCTATGAATTAATGAATTGAAACTTCATTTACTCATTGTAAATACACTATTGTGCAAAAAAAGTTTTCACTCAATTGAATTGCTAGTGTTAACTGAATTTTGTCTAGACACCATTTCTGTTGATGAAATAAAGACATATCATTATGCATTGTAAACTGATTTTCTTTCTCTCTGATCCCTGTGTTCCAAATTACAGAGTGAGTAAACCTCAGGAAATCTTTTTTCCTAGAGGCCGTTTCTCTTCCTCTGACTTAGACCCTTACTTGCTACCTGATTAATCTGATTAGGAATCTTTAAAATTTGATAATATTAATGTGATTCCTAAACTCTGAATTTTAAAAATCCCTAGTGCCTGTGAGAGTAGATAAAAGGCTTTAAGCCCAATTTCTCGGTTTTTATACTGTGCTATCACCATGCAGGATGTTACCACGGGAGAAAACTGGGTGATGGGTATCATTTCTTGCAATTGCATGTAAATCTGCAATTATATCCAAAAAAAGGCTTAATTTTTTAAAAACTAAATGAAAGTAAATGAGAAAGAACATTAAACCAACACCAAGCTGCAATGAGTTGCAAGGAAAGATGTGTAGAATTGTGGTTGAGGAAACCACACAGTCCCACATCAGCTAGTGAGGGGGTACGTTCTGAGAAATGCATCCTTACACAATTTCATATTGTGAGAACATCAGGGTGTGCCGCACCAACCCAGATGGGAAAGCCTATGACACACCTAGACTACATGCTCCTAGGCTGCAAACTGGTGCAGCATGTAACTGTACTGGATATGGCAGGCAATTGTAACACCAGGGTAAGTATTTGTGTATCTTAACATAGAAAAGGTGTGGTAAAAATAGGGTTTGCAGTCTTACGGAACCACTGTCATATATTCGTTCCATCATTGACCAAAACATGGTTATGCCACGCATGACTGTACAGTTTAAAAGGTGTATTCTAAAAGTGTATTTCATAGTTGTGTCTTAGGTTTTAATGTAAAGAGAAAAGAGATCAAATGGTGGGCAGGTCGAGTGGCCATGAGCAAACACTGGACTCAGAGGTGAGAGAAAGTCACTAGAGCAGAGCAGGGACGGTCTGAGCTGTCAGCGAGGCTGTAACGAGTGCATGTGGATGGTGTCTGGGCAGGGCAGGGCTGTGCTGCCAAGATCCAAGCTTCAAGAAGTGCACCCGACCGCCAGATGGGAAAACTGAAATTAAAAGCTGCCAAGTTCTGCTCCCTCGGGCGAGTCTCCATGGGCACCTATGGAGTCAAGGAAGGCTTCCTGAAAGCAGGTCATGGGTTTTGCAAATGTGTGCTGCTCTGACAACATCACAGTCATAACATTGTCGGTACTAGAGGTGGATTACCTATGCCTGAAGATGGGAAGTTAGTCCACTCTGAGAAAAACAGGTGGGTCAGAGTCCCAGAATTTGCTGTGGGAAACCCTGGTAATTTAGAACTGATGGTCCTTTGCACCTTCAACCCTGACATTTGCTCTTGTGATACAAATAATGGTCATGCATTGAAGCAAAATAAACCTCACCAGCTGTTGTGTCCTGCAAAACAGGTGTCCCCGACCCCTGGGTCGCAGACTGGTTCCGGTCCATGACCTGTTAGGAACATGCCTCACAGCAGGAGGTGAGCAGGTGGGGAGTGAACATTACTGCCTGAGCTCCGCCTCCTGCCATCAGCGGTGGCATTAGATTCCCATAGGAGCGCGAACCCTACTGGGAACGGTGCATGTGCAGGATCTGGGTTGCAGCTCCTTATGAGACTCTAATGCCTGATGAGCTGAGGTGGAACAGTTTCATCCCGAAAACATCCCCCAACCCCCGCTACCTCTGGTCCGTGGAAAAATTGTCTTCCACGATACCAGTCCCCGGTGCCAAAAATGTTGGGAATCGCAGCTACAAAAGAGCTTTTAAGCACTGTCCAGCCCCGGGTGGACAGCAGCCATTTTCTTTCCTACTTTACATGTGCTTCTTACAGGAAATTTGTATCTGCCTCTGGGGCAGTGAGGACAGGTTGCCTCTACACAAGGCCCTGCCAGCAGTTTTGTTAAATGTATTTGGAAATAACTGAGCTGTTCTTTAAAATCATTTTAGAATCTTTCCCTCTTCTCCAACCCACCACCTCACCCAACTCTGCCCCACCACTTGGGATGCATTAGCAAGATTATACTTAATGTTTAACACCAGCTGGTGAAGTTGCCGTGAGCAGAAATGGGTTTCCAATTCTCCTCACTGAGCACCTATGCCTTCCTGATACAAATGAACACAATACTTCCTGGTGTCAAAAAATCAAGGCCCAGAGAGATGGAGAAAGCCACACATCCCATTACACAAGTGTCTTTCATTTCACTCAAGAGCATGACATCTCCCGTCTCCACACCCGTCCCTGGTTCCTGCAGATCCTGACACACACCTGTCACTGGCCTGCTTAGCCACAAAGAGGCATTGCTGATTCTCCATGGCTAGTTCTTACTCTTTCTTCTTGAAGACAAGTGCATCCATGAGACAGTGCCCTTCATCCCGAAGCAGTGAACGGAAACCTTCCAAGACACACTAGCAGTCACTGGAAACATTACATTTTATACTGGGCCCTTCAGACTTTGTTTTTTCTTCTTTATAGAGACAAGGCCTTGCTATGCTACCCAGGCTGGAGTTCTATGGCCATTCACAGGCACGATCGTAGTGCGCCCACAGCTGTGAACTCCTAGTCGCAAGAATCCTCTCGCCTCAGCCTCCTGAGTAACTGGGACTATAGGCAGGCCTCCAGGCCCAGCTCAAACTTGTTTTTTGTTGTTGTTGTTGTTGTGTTTTGAGACGTGCTTTGTCACCAGGCTGGAGTACAGTGGCACGATCTTGGCTCACTGCAACTTCCACCTCCCAGGTTCAAGCAATTCTCCTGCCTCAGCCTCCCAAGTAGCTGGGACTACAGGCGCATGCCACCACGCCCAGCTAATTTTTGCATTTTTAGCAGAGACGGGGTTTCATCCTGTTGGCCAGGATGGTCTCGATCTGTTGACCTCATGATCCCCCGCACCTTGGCCTCCCAAAGTTCTGGGATTACAGGCATGAGCCACCACACCCAGCCTCAAACTTGTTTTTTAAAACCTCCATATGTGCTGTGTTGACAATCCTGTAAAGACTTTTCAGAGTGAAAGAAATTGAAATTGCAAAAAAAGTTGCCATAGAGGCCTCTGAAACCTATTGACAAACCTATTGACCCAACATGACAGAAAGTGAATAAGAAATAAAGACTGGAAAATTGGAAGCAAAGGGTAAGGTATTGCCTTTGGCATTTATACATAAATACATATTCATTCAACCAACACTGTGTTACATGCTGAGCATCCAGGATGTCAAATACCTTACCCTTACAGCTTTCACAGGCTAGTTGGGCAGAGAGATGTACAAATAAATCATTGCCCAGGGGCTGCTGACTTTTACAGAAAGGAGAGCAAGGATTTCTGAAAGGACTGCGGGCCTCAGAGCAGCTGGATATGGATTTGAATTCCAGCAGGCACTTCAACTTGTGTGCTCTTTAACTGTGGAGAAAGTTAATCTCTTTGAGCCTTGTCAGATCTATAAGATGAAAATGAAAAATAACAACTTGACAAGTTGTACAAGGTATAGATAATGTGAGCACGTGGAATATAGTATTTCTACAAAAAAAAAAATTTTTTTAATTAGCTGGGAGTGGTGGTGCATCTCTATAGTACCACCTATTGGGAAGGCTGAGGTGGGAGGATCACTTGAACCCGGGAGGTAGAGGTTGCAGTGAGCCAAGATCATGCCACTGCACTCCAGCCTGGGCAACAGAGCAAGACCTGTCTCAAAAAAAAACAAAAAACAAAAAACAAAAAAAAACACCCTATCATCTACCCCCCACCGTTACTATAATTACAAGGCTGCCACAAAGAAAGGCATGGTGAGTGAATGGGTGACTGAGAAGATATGGTGAAACTGCCTCCATGAAAATAATGAGTCCCCAAAAGGCAGCCACAGGATAGGTGGACACTGTCCAGCAGCACACTCCTCGGTGGGCAACAGCAGGCAGGAGCGGGACAGCTGCCACAGCTGGGTTACAAGTGAGAGGCAGGAAATGAGGTCAGAGGCAGGGGCCAGTGCCTGAATTTCCTGTGGCTGTTATCTCACAGGACATAGATGATGCCAAGCCTTATGGCTTTCAACCAAATTGATTCTTCTTATAACTTGAAGCCTTTATTACCAGGTGCGTGGCCAGGGTTGGGGTCTACTCTGGCTGTGGGGTAGAGGAGGGTGGAGCTAAAAGGCTCTTTCTATGGGAATTGAGTCCACCTTTATGGCTCTAAAAACTCAGGGCTGGGCACGGTGGCTCACACCTGTAATCCCAGCACTTTGGGAGCACCTGAGGTCAGGAATTCAAGACCAGCCTCACTAACGCGAAGCTAAAAATATTAAAATACAAAAATTAGCCGGGCCTGGTCATGGGTACCTGTAGTCCCAGCTAGTTGGGAGGCTGAGGCAGGAGAATGGCTTGAACCCAGGAGGTGGAGGTTGCAGTGAGCCGAGATGAGCCAAGCAGCAACCAGCCGAGCAGCCTCATGGGTTGGCTAGTCAGTGCACATCACACGGCACACACTCTCCTAGATGGCTCAGGACCACTGGGAGGGCAGGCAGGGTGAGGAAGACGTGCTGGCTTCTACCACTCTCAGGAAGCTCCTGGGGGGCACAATCATGGCATCACCGCTACCCATGAATGATCCCAGAACGGTACAAAAAAAGCATGCGAGTGTTTGCCAGTGTTCTAATCCATTATTTTATTTCCATGCCATCGGTGAATTAAAAATCCAACTGATTCATCCCCAAGAAATGAACTGGTGAGAGGAAAAGCCTCAAAAGTTTCTTGTCAACCTCTTCTTTAGAGACAGGAAGCACATCTGACCTCAGGCTGAGCACAAAGCTCCAGGCCTTCTCTGGACCCACATTTAAGGGGCCAACTGCTACTGTTACTGCCACTACAGAGCTGGGGAACTCTCTTGCAAAATATCCCAGCAGGCTGTGCTGGGCCTGGGGAAGAGGAGACATATACCAATCCTCCTCCTCAAGCAGAGCCGCTCTTGTCCCTAGATCTCCTCTGACGGTGTACAGCTCCTCCCTGCCCGAGCATCAG